TGGTCACAGAAGTTAAGTCCATGTCTTCGATTGTACACTAAAATTTAAAATGTCGAGTTTTGACACCGAATATTGAAAAATGTTATACATTGCTCACTGAACTTTGAAAAATATTGTACATAATTCACTGTAAACTCGATATTTTTCAAAATTCAACAATTATGCTAGTGAGTAACATACACCATATTTCAAAGTTTAGTGGTCAAAACTTGACTTTTTAAATTTCAATAAGCAATCTAAGATATAAAAATAAGTTCAGTGAGCAATCGAAGATATTGACCTAAGTTCAGTGATCAAAATTCGACATTTTAAACTTCAGTGACCAATCAAAGACATGGACCTAAGTTCAATTACTAAAACTTGACATTTTAAAGCTTTAATGGCCAATAAAAAAACATGGACCTAAGTTCAATGACCATTGAAACAATTAACTCAATTTACTCAACCTCTTCACTCGCCTACGTGGCTATGCCAATCGTGAGGTGACCTAAATTTTAATTATTCTAGACGGACATGGGACATGTGTCCCCGTACTGGCTGGGGGCTCCGGGTATCATTGACCAATAATTTCATTTTTCCACTTTGAGAAAAATGCCAAAAATATTTTTTAAAATTGAACCGGCCCGATTGGGATCAAGATTCACCGCTTCTTACCAAGTTGGTCTAGGCTCGTAAGGTGAGGTGATCATAACTTCTCCAACCCACCCTATGCAACCATGCCCCAACTCCTTTTGTGCACACCTTCATCCCATGAAGGTCGATCCAAATTTAACTGTCAATTTTGATAGGGTAGGATAGGAGTAATAAATATGTCAAGTCAAGTCATTCAACTCGCATACTATCGAGCTCGAGCTCGAGCTCGCTTATTCAACCAAAATGTATCTAAACTTGTCCCATGAACTCACCTCTTGGAGGGCGAGCCAAGATGCTTTTTTTTTCAAATAAAATTTGCAACTCATTATGTCAAATCGACTCGTGAATCAACTCTAGCTCGCTAGTAAATCGAATCGACTTGAGTCAATGAACAGCTCACTTTAACTTGGTTGTTTTTTACTTGAACTTCATAGAAGAAAGGGACAATTTATAATAAAGATATCTAAAAAGAAATTCCCCTCTTTCATTTTATGATTCTTGGACAATCTTTGCAACCTTTTTTTGTATTTTTCCCCTAATTTACGCATTTAAAACAGTGACAATTCAAACCCTTTTATTCTATACAATCAAGAATCGTAAACGCTGATACCATGTCACTGATAATCTTGGTCGGACAGCTAAAGATAAGCTTATGAGAATAGCGTTTGGTACATAAAACACGACACAGTTGATAATCAGAATGCAGCATTATAGATCATAAACATTCATATAGATTTTCAAGGTACCCCTTAACATCATCCTTGCCTCAAAACAAAATTTAGAAGAAACGGAAAATAATTTCTCAAACGAGTTGTGATCGAGGCAGAGTTGTTGCTGAAGATCTACTTTCTTCTCTTCCTTTTGATAGTTTGAAATTCCAGCGGGACTGGAAGAGTAGCCACCAAAACTTGATTCTCGCGCCTGAACTTGCAACCTAAGTATTCATAATGGGGTCTTAGAGCAACAGGCGTCATTCTAAGATCCTCAGCTATATCTGATGGGTCGGATTTGAAATCATCCACAAACATAGTGAGCACCAACACATAACTTATGAGCAGCTTCTTTTTCTCATCTGGAATTCTAGAATCATTTGAAGTGGCAAACAGTGAAGAGAATTTCTGGGAAAAGATACTCGGGAATTTATGGTGCTTTGCAGATAAAACGCCATCCATAGAATGTTTATCCTTGAACTTGATGAGATGAGTGATATATGAAAATATGCCAGCCAACTTCCTCTTTTTTGCGTCGTCCTACAAGGTGGAAAGGCAAGAAATAAAGAAATTAGCATTAAAGCAAAACGATTTGTTCAACCAAATATTGTTAATATATAAAACAACCTATTCTCTTTATTTATTGAAGCAACATAATCGACATTTCCTTTTTCCAGATATAGTTTGACTTTTGAGGTCTCGCTGGTGTAAATAATCAAATTTCGTAAGAAACTGAATTTTATAATAAAACAGAGCTTTTCTCGTGCTAACCAACTTCTCATTCAAAGTGAAAGTTGATTACTTGGATTTACTCATCTAAAAAATCAAAATCTATTCGGCCTAAATATAATATGGCAGAAGCCTCCACGAAAATTTAATTTTAATTTTATCAACAATTCAACAAGAAATTGCTAATGTTGAAGTGATACTGGTTACCTCATCCATGCGAATTTGCGAAAAAGAAAAAGAAGAGAAGTAGAAATAGCAAGGAGATGGTCAAACTTGCAATGTACTGGGCATTTTGAAAATATCAGATAATCAGGAGCCTCAATTTAACTATAAATCAGTACCTCAATATCTTCCAGTTTATGAACTCTGTTGCGGACAAATCTCGGGTAGATGCTCGGTGTCACTTCTCCCCCGGTGCATGAAATCTCAAAAA